TGCTGGGGTTCCCTATACATTACTCTTAAGGATTGAAGCTCTGGCGTTTCCACCCTTTGGGCTTCTGCTGTAAAGCCTACTACATGGCATAGTCCAAAACAGAGTTTAGGGTTCAGGGGAAAGTCGATCCACAGAAAGTCTTGAAGCTGAAGTCGTGAACTCTGAAACCCTAAATGCAAAACTTTAAGCTACACCCAGTAGAACTTGTGGGTTCCACGTACTGATATAGTAGATACTTTGGCCTTAAACTAGTGCCATTTGCGTACTTGGCGGCCAAAGTATGCACTATATTATGGGTACGTCGGACCCTTAACCTTAAACCCTAAACATCCCCAAACCAAACCATCCTGGCACCTTTGATGAAACCTTAAAACAGAATCCTTTAAAGGGTTCCTTTAAGGCGCCCTTAGGGGAATGCCGGCCGGCAGGAAGATGTCGTCGAGAAGCTTAAGAAGCGAGTCTGGGCAAATCGCACAAAGCAGCTTTGCTGCTGTCAGTTTGGTTTAGGGTTTAGGGATGTTCAGGGCTTCGGGTTTAGGGATGTTTAGGGTTTAGGGTTTAGGGATGTTTAGGGTTTAGGGTATAGGGATGTTTAGGGTTTAGGGATGTTTATAGGGTTTAGGGTGATGCGAAGGGTGTAGCCAGTTCCCTCAGTTTCGGAACTCATCTGGGTGTTTGGAGCCTCACAGGGGCTCCGATTCCCCCGAAACCAAAACCCTTCTTCAGGGTTTAGTAGGTTTTAGGGTTTAAGTTTAAGGGTTTAAGTTTAAGGATGTTGGGGTTTCTTCTTCAGGGTTTAGTAGGCTTTAGGGTTTAAGGATGTTGGGGTTTTGGTGTTTCGGCCTCCCTACGCCCTACACCTTAGACATTATTTTAGGGTTTACGGGCCCGGTAGCCCCTCTTCATCAGGCTCAAGGAAGAAGCTACGAAGGATCACTTATATCAAGCGCTCCCGAACAGGGTCCTAATCGTGATTTCGGGAGTAATGTAGGGGCTTAAGTAATTACTTACACTATTTTGGGGGGGCCCCTTATTATAATTGGTATAATGGCCCCTTATTATAATTGGTATAATGGGCCCCAAAACCCTATTCTACTTATCAAGGCCCCCAAACCCTAAACCCTTTTAGTAGCCCTTATAGAACCCTTTGTAGGAGGTCTTTAAAGGAAACCCTATTCTAATTATTAAGGCCCCTAAACCCTAAACCCTTTTAGTAGCTCTTATAGAACCCTTTATATAGGAGCCCTTTAAAGGAAACCTATTCTAATTATTAAGCCCCCCCCGTATATTACATGATATGAACCTAGTAAGGAATATAACATAGTTCCCATAGTATAGGGTCCCCGAGGCAATGCAGGATTTTTATCATCAACAGTATGGGCGCCTCTCTTGAAGTATGGTACAGTGGAAGATGGTTGGCTCGGCTCCTGACCTGCATGGCCTCCAGGAGGATTTTCCTAGTCCATACAAGGGGTTTAGGGTTTAGGGTTTAGAGTCTAGGGTTTAGGTTTAGGGTTTAGGGTTTAGGTTTAGGGTTTAGGGTCTGGGGTTTAGGGGGATGTTCAGCGGTATCCTGTTATTCTTTTGGTTGGTATTGGGTCCTAGTATAATATATAGCTAACCTATAGAAGTGTTCATTTTTCCAGTAGGTCGCTGAACCGGTTATGTAGCACAAACACTGAATTGTTGCAGTTCACTGCGTGGACAGGGGGTGTCAAACCCGCATGGGAGAAGGCTTGATCTAAGCTGTTCGCCATACTTGAAGGCTCCACTGTAGTTCAACGCCGTGTCGTACTTGCCGACATTTGATTCTTAAATGGGAAAACGCTAACCCTGCACCCCAAGTTCCTCGATAACCCTAAACCCCTGAACCTTGAACCAGCCCTAAACCTTGAAGGATGGGGCAGCAGTCAAGAAAGTTACTGCAGGGTTCCGGGTTCGAGAATCTGAAGGCAGCTGTACATCCGAAATCCTAAGCCTTTACGAAGAGTTGAGAGTAGGGTTTACTTTGCGGAACAAGTACTATTCCTATGGCTTTCTAGTGTGCTTGTAAAATTACAGTATACTTACATACATGCATGCATACATACATACATATATACACACATAAATACACATGAACATACACATACACCTACACGTACACATACGCATACACATACACATACATACAAACACATA